CTGAGGCGTGAGATCGAGTTACAAAATTTACGTTATAACTGAAACTCATCAAGAATGGCTCTTTTGAATAAAATGGCCAATGCTCAACGGGTTGGCCTATGGCTTAAGACTATCTGCAAGCACGTGCTGTTCACGTTCTCGGAAATCAAGAAGCTTCTGTGATCGTCGCAGTCAGCCAGCGCTTTCCTCAACTTCATTAACACGTCAAGTTTCAAACCCTGCACATGTCTCAAAAGTTATGAAACCAAGACATAACCAAGTATTATATTCCTTTTCATGAGGATCAATAACTGAAAAGTCGAGATCAAGATATACTTGTGGAGGCTATGAAAACTAATATCGTCGTCCAAAACTGGGTTGACTGAGGGGCACCTCTGGGCACATAAAAAGCCTAGCAAACGTCTTTCCTGAAATTCAAGATTTTCGTTCGGTTAAATGTTCCCGGGCTCAAATTCCGCGCAGCCTACCCCGATTTTTTGTTCACGTCAGCTTCGAGATGTCCTACGACGACCAATACTACGGATCATCCAGCCGCCGCGGTGGTGCCAGTGGCAAATACGATGACTATGATGGACCACCTCGGGACCGTGCACGTCCGCATAGGTGAGTTTTCCGATATTAACATGTATATATTCTTCCCGTTGGAAAATTAGTATTTTAACTAAACTGGCCTTTATTCGTCTGATTAGTGTCGACGTTTACAAACAGAGGTGTGATGTACATTGCATATTTTCACAGATTAGATGCAACCAACAATAATCAGTGTTACTTTCCTCCACAGTCTCCGAATAATCCTCTTATGCGATGTAGAATCCTCTCGGACTTTGCTCTAAGTGCAACCTAATGACCCCCTCATGTCATGCAATTGTACCCTACATATGTGCTTTGAAAACGAATATTACCGAGTCTCCCGTCAGAAAGTCTCGCACGAAATAGGAATGTTATGCGCCACATCTTGAGAGCGCCTATTGTCGTCAGAGATTGGGCGATTGTATGCATAAGGTCAGCTTTAGTAGTATGTTGTAAGAATTTCGACCAGCCAAAAACAAACTGCATTCTGGATATGCATGGTGAACCCTTGTAGAGGCGGTAGAGCTGGGGCAGGTTTTGGACCCTTAAGGGTTACCCCTAAGTGACTGCTGGTGTGCATGATTGTTATATGACACGAACGTCGTAATTGACGGTAGTGCAGTACAATTGCCATGCGTAATTTGCTCAACTGAAAAGGCAATTGAAAAAACGTTTTTATGCTCTAATAATCTGGATGACCATTAAGGAACAGCATTTTGAGCATTTAAGTTAAGTGTTTTTTAGTCCACTCTTCGAGCATCCACTATCCGGTCCGTTTTTCTAGCGTAGCAGAAATTATAGTTACTCACATAAACAAGGCTAGCTGTTATATCAGCATAGTAAGTGGTGCGCAGACCGATGATTCCACCAGCGCGTTTGCAAGCTTCTGAAACCTGCCGCAAGAGTTCGGATGTCGTATAGACCGATGTATTCAGGGAAGCATCGCATAAAATAATTAACGTATCCATTTTAGGAAATAGTTCATTTTCTGTTCTAAACGAAACAGGTCCTACTTGACGCCCGAATGGTCTACATAAAATGCCGTTTGACAAAGCAAATGGGGAAATTTTGTTGCATTAACGTTGCTCGGTTGAAAAAGGCTTTGGGCTTATTGAGTACTAAACTATAAATGAATTAATTATCTGAGAGTCTCTGCTGTAATAGCTTTACTTTTGAAATTTATTTTATTGCTGCACATTTCGACTCATTGATTAATTATGACTGCGTATCGAGACCCGCTACTTATGTCGAGCGAAGCCACATCTGATGCTTGCCTTCCACTGTGTTCAAAAATACATTCTGTTTTGTCTCATTTTGACAGTTTACTGACAGATTACCTTGTACAACTAAGTCGTTTGGTGTTCAGTCTCGTCGGAAACAGCCTATCCCGCATGCTTACTCATCAGTGAAAATTAAGATTGTACTAACCGTCCATGTTTTCCTGCCCACTTGATTACGGAACTTTTTTTAGACAAACCTCTGGTGACCTACCAAGAAGCTCACACCAAGGCTACAGGGTTGACGAAAGAGCCTACCGTCGCGACTCCTTAGAGGAACCCGTAAGACCTTCCTCTTATCGTGGTGGCGCTAGCGGCAGCGGTGATCGACGTGATCCCTATTACAGTCGGCGCGCTGAAGATTATGATTCGGAACGGCCGGCTTCTCGCGACTACGTACCTCAACGTCGCGGGGGAGACTATCGGCCGCGTCCTGCTGACTCACAACGTCCAAAGCCATCTAAAGTGCTTGGGGTCTTTGGGCTTTCCACCTATACGTCTGAACGCGACCTTTTCGATATATTTTCTGAATTCGGACACGTAAAGGAGATCAAGATGATATATGACAACCTGACAGGTAAACATTCTAACATCTATGCCTTCAATTACTTGGGCATAAACTTTTTTCTAAAAGGCTTTTCCAGGCCAATGACTTTGCCATGTCGACTGCCGTACAAAACACCATTGCCCGGTAAAATTTTCCTAGTACGCGTGTATACCTACCATATTCAGGCCTATCAACCGGGCACTTCTTTAACCTTGTGAGGTGGCTTATGGGCAAAATGGTACCACCACGTAGATGGATGAAAGTCCATAGTCTGGATTGCCATCCAGGCTGCGCGCCAGCATAGCCGGAACGCATAAACGCATTCAGGTTTGTCTTATCTGTCGACAACCGGAAATGTATGTTTTAGGAAAACTTTCGTGTCATACTTGTGTGGAGTCTTCGTGTCTTGTCTTATTAGCGTTCCGTTTTGACCCTTTTCACTTTTCAGGAAAATCGCGTGGCTTCGCCTTCGTTTACTACGACTCTACGGAGGACGCCACACAGGCAAAGGCTAGAGGCGATCAGGGCATGGAGATTGATGGCAGACTAGTTCGTGTGGACTACAGTATTACCCAGGCCCCTCATCCGCCCACACCAGGCGTTTACATGGGAAAGTCCAAAAGGTGAATATTTTATTGATTGCCTTTGTAGTAAATTGCAACTTTTTCCAACCACCCAAGTTGAGGATAAACATCTCATCGACTTAGCAGCCAGTGCCTCCCATATTTCTGTCGATGTGTTATCCAATAAATTTTTACGGACGTTTGTTCTCGATCCGAAAAGCAGGGTTGTAATATTAGACATAGAAGTCAACAAGCAACCCCTCTTACAATATAATCCACGAGCTCTCTTAGCGTATAATTGTAGTCAACAATTACAAGGTTTCTTGGCGCTCTGCGAATTTCATCCGCTAGGCTTTGTCTGTGATGTGATTCGACTTAACCGGCTCTGGGGCTATTGTGCAAGAGCTTACCGAAGTGCATTTTGCTTCCTGACGGACAGTCACCTGAGACCAAATGAACTGACACCATCCTAAATGATACTGACGCTGTTGAACCCGTCTGTCTGCCTCTGCCTCTCTTAAACCTATGCTAACGCGATCCTGCTGGATCGTAT